CCTTTAATCTTCCTGTGGTGCTTTTATTCGCCATCATTCCTCTAAAATCAGATAGAGCAGAATTAACTCTCTAGAATCACTGAGGAGAGCAACAGATCCTTTCTTTAAAAACTTAATTCAGGTTGTAACGTTCTACTTCAACATTGTTGGACTTGAGCCTTCCATATCTCCAACCAGCATCAACAAGGCCCCTTTTTGGACAGTGGTTAGCACCATGTCAAGCAACTCCCATATGGACAGTGTGAGAAAGGATAGCAGTCCAACCTCTGGATCTACAGCTTCAACATAGGTTACCAGCAAGTTATGAGGAGATAGCTGTCCCTCTGTGTCTCTCCCCAGTAGAAAGCCAATTTAAATGCCCCTGGGCCCACATCCAAAAGTTGTTTTTGTCTCATGGTCCACAAATGGTGAACTTCTTTTCTGGCTGCCAAAATTCTTTTCTAAATAATAATCATGTTCCCACTCTGGCAGACAACTAATTACCTATTATAACTTAATTACACTAAGCTGGGGCATGCTTCATATATAAGAAAAGCTTTCACAAAATTTAATTCGGCCCATCACCCAGGGCTATTCCTTATACAGGCATTTCTCTTCAAAGGAGAACATTTTTTCCATTGTTTCAATTACTTTTCTCTAATAATTTGTAATATTATTATTTACAAAATGTAACGGGAGTCAGTGGTGTTTACTTGCAAATAGGTTTCAATTTGTATCTACTTTTTAAGCTATGGTTTGCTGAACCATAACAAAACTATTCAGATTATAATTGACACCAATTAGTTTCAGTGCCTTTGGAGATTGTTCAAAACATTTATTCTTTTTTTTTTTTGATAGCAATAAGAGATACAGGGAATGTAGCTTGAATGAGCTATTGAAAGAGTTGTCCAGTTTATATTCCTCATGGCACATAAACACATTTTCAGATAGAATACAGTTATGAAACTGCATGCTAGGTTTAATTACTAATTGCAGGCTGCTTGGTCAAAAGATAGGAATCTGGATTTGCAAGTACTAGTTACTGTCAGTTGTGGCCCGCATTCCTAAACTTGCTTAAAAGGAAGATTCCCTCTAAGAAAGCAGATATCAACGGTTCTGGTAATGCAGCTGTGCTAAAAGGCCAATCTCATTATCATGGCAGAGTCTTAAGTAGGCAACTTTGATGTTTTCACTCCACAAAAGAAACAAGCTTCCTCCAGTTGTGCCAACTGGTTTTGAATCAGTTTGAATGGAGACCGTTTGATACTAATAGAAATGGCTTGATTAACTGGGTGTTTTGAATCATATGGAGCTCTCTCTACAAATCCCTGCTGGTGGTCCAAATGAATTGGTGAAAATCTTTAGATGGCTCCAAAATATCAATACAGTATTTGTAACTAGGACCTCCATAATCACTGAATTTAAGAATGCAATCATGTAAATGCTGACTGAAATTTGGATTTTCATGAGCTTGTGAGATCGAGAACCACTTGTTGATGAATGAGGGAATTACAATATTAAAACAAATTGTTCTCGTTTCTACAAAGCCATTGAAAGTTATCTCATGTTCAAAATCAAGTATCCTCTAAGGCAGTGATGGCGAACTTTTTAGAGACCGAGTGCCCAAACTGCAACCCAAAACCTACTTATGCATCGTCGGGTGCCAGGTGGATGTGGCTCATTGGGTGGGCATGGCTGCGGTGGTAACGGCAGACTGGGTGGGACTAAAAAGTTCAATCAATCAATTCCAACTTTGCAAGAACTTTTTTTTCCCCGCAAGAAGTTGAAATTGACTGATTGAACCTTTTTTTTTTTTTTTTTGCACATGGCAGTGGAGGCCTAAAGCGAAAAGGTTTTATAAAACCCAGCTGAAGGCCTAGGACTGGGGCGACGGCACATGTGCCCACAGAGAGGGCTCTGAATGCTGCCTCTGGCACCCGTGCCATAGGTTCGCCACCCCTGCTCTAAGGAGATTCAACTCCTGGTGATTCCATGTAGCATTGTTGGTGGCCATATGAAAGTGTGTTACCCTTGCTTTTTTCTGGGATACACGCACACACGATATCCAGTTTAGCTTAGAGACTGCAATTTTCCCTAGGCCAGCTCCCATCCACATTCTAACCAGAGCTGATCCTGCTTAGTTTCCAAGGGCAGTCAGTTGTCATCTCCTGTACTAGCTGAGTTAATAAAAAATCTTTCATTGGTGCAAAATCTACCTATTCAGAGAGAAACCCCTACCCAGGACACGCATTTTTCACCTTGTGGAAAAGAAGTCACTCCAGATTAATGAAGAGGTGACAAATTCAATCTGCTGGAGAGCCAAAGTGGGCACTGGCCCAGGCTCTGCTTTTTAATGTCTGCTTTCTTCCTGACTAGCAGACAAAGATAGATAGAAGGGCCCTGAAAGGCTGGAAGCGTAGTTCAAACAGGACAATAAAGGAGGCCTATCACTTTAAGAGAAGAAGCAGAGGAGCACTTTGATGACTTTGCATTAAGCATCCTGGCTCTGAGTAAGTGACTCCTCTCAGGGCTCCCTTGAGGCCTTGAGCTGAAAAGCAATTCAAGGGGATGACACTTCAAGCAAAGCTGCCTTAACCAAGACACTCCAAGAGGAAAATCCGCTTAGGGAAAGAATGAACTTGGATGGGGGGGACTTGACCTGCAGGTTTCATTTGGGTTATGCTTCCCAAAGTCAAACTAAGCGAGAGAGATTCTGAGCTGTACAATAAAGCGGGATTTATTCGCGTCAATCACCTGTATAGGATGGCTTTCCAGAAGTCAGAAACCGAATGCCGCCTTTAAATG